CTTGTCTAAGAACTACAACTCCCAGTAGGCATCGGGCAGAGCAACCAAGCTTCCGGCCAGAGCTTATTTCCGGTCTTTCGGGTGCTGACGCTCTCTTCCGGTTTTGACGGCCCCTGAAAGGCCTCGGGGGACGGGCAGGGTGAGTCCCGAGGCACTGGGGTCGCGAGTGGGAGCAGGGGAATCTTGTGTCCGCACTACACTCAGCGGCTCAGAGTTAGCTCCGGGAGGTCAGGGAGGAGAGGGGGCATGCTGGCGGGAGGACGTGTAGTGTTGGCGAGAATGGACTTGCCAATGGGAGGGGACTGGGGCCACGGAGGGCCCCACAAAGGGATGTGGAGGGCGAGGACGAATGGGATCCCGGGGAAAGGCTGGAGGGTGGGAGGGGACCCCGCGAGCGCGGCGTGGAATCCCAGGGGAGCTGGTGGAGGAGGGCCAGAGGGAAAGTAGCAACCGTGGGGTGCTTCTGCGTGAAGGAAAGCTAGAGGCTGCTGTGGGTCCGAGATCGGGCGAATCCGGCAGCCCAAGGAGCGTGGGCACGTGGAGTCCTCTCAGAAGATCCTGCCAGTTAGGGAGCATCCAGGGCCCAGGTGGCTTAGAGACCGCTATGTTGGAAGGGGCTGCCTCTGACAAACTCAAAAGAGCTTTGACGGAGTTTGAAAGAAAGAGCTGTCAGGAAGCTTTTGGTGGTTTTCGTGCTTGGATTGACTGCTCGCTTTGCCTTTTTCTCCAAAGATGAGGCTGCTGGCATTCGCGGTGTTGGCTCTATTTGCTGTCACTCAAGCAGAGGAAGGAGCCAGGCTTTTGGCCTCCAAATCACTGCTGAACAGATATGCTGTGGAGGGGCGAGACCTGACCTTACAGTACAACATTTACAATGTTGGCTCGAGGTAAGGAGGCACTGGAACTGTAGGTTGGGCCCTTTTCAGGTTTTTTAAATTTCCTAGCTGGGAACAGACACCAGCAGTGGTTTATCTTTGGGAGATTTTCAGCAGCAGATATCATGAGTGAATGAATGAATATAGTGCTGGATCTGCTTTTGGAAGAGGAGGACATATTCTTATCTAAGCTACAAGAAACCATCTTCCACTTTTTTTGACGTGAAAGAGTTCCAGGGTGGGGAAGAAGCAAGAATTGTGGTGAAATAGAGAGAAGAAAATGAGAAGGCAGAAAATGTATGATCTTTTGTTACCTTAGGGATTTAGTTCCAGCTTCCTTTCTTAGATTGGCATTTTTGTTGTCTTTCACTGTTTTAAAAATAGACCTTTTATTTTGTTTGGTTGGGTTTGTGGTTGTGGATTTTTTGTTTTTTTTTTTTTTTTTGCCACACTGTGGGGCATGTGGAATCTTAGCTCCTTGAGCAGGGATCAAACCTGAGTGTCCCACATTGGAAGCACAGAGTCATAACCACTGGACTGCCAGAGAAGTTCCTTTTTATTTATTTATTTGGCTTCATGTCAGGTCTTAGATATGGCCTGCAGGATTTTCATTACTGCGTCCCCTGGACCACCAGGAAAGTCCTCTCTTTTACTTTATTCCCTTTAATTTTCTTTTCCATATGCATCTTGCTCCTCTTCCCCTCCTTACACATACACACACACACACACACACACACACACACACATGAGAAAAAACTAGGGCAAAAATGGATTCAGGCCCATTCATTCCTAGGTATTTTGAGTATTTTATTTTGGTGCCCAGAATCCAGGCCTTGAGTGAGATTCTTCAGTGTAACTATGTGACTCATATCTGTCCTTTGTAGTTCTGATTTTTTAGGACAGGCAGACAGATTTGATTGCTAACTGCTTTAATTTTATAACCACTACTTACTAACCTTTCTTTGTTTCCTCCATTCTCTAGTGCTGCATTAGATGTGGAATTATCTGATGATTCCTTCCCTCCAGAAGACTTTGGCATTGTCTCTGGAATGCTCAATGTCAAATGGGACCGGATTGCTCCGTATCCTCTTGACACTGGCTGATGAAGGCTAATGGGATGTTGGGAGGGATACCGCCAGCAAAGCAGTAGGGTCACATCAGTCTAAGTGTATATGGCCATTCTTGCCACCTCTCTGGGTAAGATGTGGTAAGAGAGACTAGTGAGAATTGAGTGTGCATGATTTAGGGTGGGTCTGAGGAAGGAGGTTCCTGAAGTTTAGGTTATAAAGCCCTAAAACATTCTATATTGGGAGAATGTAGGCAGATGTTTGTGGCTGGTTGATGATCTTTAAGTTGCTTTTAAAAGAAATTCTGTGGGATGCTAGTGTGGAAGACCTGGGTGACCTGTTTAAAGGCTCTTCTTATTCAGTGAACCCCTTATTTGGATCAACTGGTAATTTCTTGAGTGTTTTTAAAATGTGTTGTTTATTTACTTATTTTTGGCTACACTGGGTCTTTGTCGCTGTATGCAGGCTTTCCCTAGTTGTGGCAAGTGGGGGCTACTCTTGTTGTGGTGCATGGGCTTCTCATTGCAGTGGCTTCTCTTGTGGAGCACAAGCTCTAGGGAGATCCGGATTCAGTAGTTGTGGCGCACAGGCTTAGTTACTCTGTGGCATGCAGAATCTTCCCAGACCAGGGGTCAAACCCGTGTCCCCTGCATTGGCAGGCAGATTCTTTACCACTGGGCCATCAGGGAAGTTCCTTCCTGAGTGTTTTGATTTAGATTACTTTTTTCCCTTGTGAGTTAAAAGTATATTTAGATTTTCTGACAAGGGTAAGTGTTCTCTTTGTATTTTTTGTTTTTGTTTTGTATTTTCAAGAATTTCCTTCAGTTATAGGCAGCGAAAAGGTTTCTGTGACCTTAAGTGACTAATTTTTCACCTATAACCTGTATTGTTTTATAACATTTCAATATTGAGTATGTCATAGACCTCTTAAAACTTGATTAAAAAGATATCATCTAATTCCACCCACTTTAGGCTTAGATAAAAAGCCTGTGTTTATTATTTTTGCAGAGTATCTTAGATATGAAATATTGTATGTGTTAGCAACTCTTTTTGTGAATGGTGTATTTAGTCCCTAAGTTGAAAGTTTGTTACAACTGTAGCTTCATCTTTTTCCCTCCTTAACTCTTGAGTCAGTGCTAGCAACGTCTCCCACACTGTGGTCCTGCGACCTCTCAAGGCTGGTTATTTCAACTTCACCTCAGCAACTGTTACATACCTGGCCCAGGAGGATGGGCCTGTTGTGGTGAGTCACCCAAACACTTAGCTGGCTGGGCCTCAGCTCTGCCTTCCTTTGAAATCTC